TTAAAAAGGCATCTGTTTGAGGTATTATTTGAGCAGCAAGGAGCATTACCTTTTACCATATTATTATGCTTTTATCCAGATAAAATAAATATAAAATGTTTGTAGTCTGATATTTCAATTTCCATATTGCTACTGCTAGATTGCAAGGGTAAGAGTAACTGTAACAGCACTTTAACCTCCAACTTGGCACACATTCCAGATATATGGGTTCTGGCTGTGCAGAAAGTCAGAGTAACCTGCTGAGTGGTTTCCACGAAGGAACATACTTCTTGAAGTTTCTCTACCTCAGAGATAGCACAGAGAAGGTCTGATATAGAAACTTCTCCTTACTAGCCACTCAGGAGAACCTTATCACAGTTTACAGGCTGAATACAGCTTGGCATGTGGTACCTTCCTTTAATGCGTATATAATCTCATTTTACATTAAATTACTATAAACAAATTTTCTTTAAGTGTACAAAAATCTTCATGAATGGATCCTGAAACTATTTGAGATACTTAATGCTAGAGCCATATTTAACATAAGAACCAATCATTCAGGTGAAAGCGTATATATTGAGAAGCTCAACTGATTCCAGCAATCACTGGTCCTCTTTGGGATTTGGGGTGACACACAACAGCTGCCATGAGGTTGGTGCTCTGAAGAAGGACACTTGGTTGGCTTACTGTTTTGTTTGCTTTAAAGAATGAACTGAACTCTACTTTGAGGATGAAGCTTCAACATTATTGTCACAGTCTCGTCAAATTTTAACTCCTGTATACACACCCTGCAGCACTGGCATGCAGATGCAGAGAAATCTTCTGGTGCAGATGTGGGTAGGGTCTGCTGAAGATGGTGGGTGCTGCTCTGTAACACTGTCAGAGCCTGTTGACCTGCTGTGCATATTGCTGCAGCTCAGCAGGTGTTTCACCACTGCCTTTATTTATATCAAGCTTTAATGCTTCCCATATTTTTAAACGTGCTTTTAAAATTCACACCTACCAAGCTGGTATGTATTGTGGCACTTATTAGCTATGGCAGCATGCGATTCTTTGTTGTGTATGGATTTCTGTTTCTAACATGAGCTCTAATCCCTTTTTAGATCTTTTCATCTTATTAGATGCATAACACTCAAGTCTGGCCCAAACTCTAGGTAACAAAAAGTAAATACTGGTTTTCTATTATCTGTGTACTTCAAGGAAAGAAGATGCGTGAGTACACGTATACATAAAAAGAACTAGAGCTAGATACAGTATTTTGTCTGTATTAAGTAATTTTCAAATTTCACTATTTCTGACATATTAATAGAACTGCATTAACCCCCTCCTGTGTTTATTTTAATATCCTATCTACCTATAGTTACTAAAACACCTATTCAAATCACATTTCAAAATGTTTTAAAATTAGTTTTTCAAAATTCATTAAAATATAGTTTCTTCTTCTCTGAAATTAAAAAATAAGTCATTTAAACTCTGCTCCAATAATAGCTGTTTTCCTTCTCCTATTGGCTTTGGATAAATAGAGATTAATGTGTACAAAACCAGAAAAATTAAATGTATGTATTTGGGCAAGATGTAACTATGTCCATATAGTACTGAGAAAAGTGGGGATAATAATACTACACTTCCTTAATGTGGTAACAGTGAAGAGCATCCATTCAAATACCATGGCTAGAGAAAGCCAGATGTAGTACTCATGTAAAAATAATTCAGAGCAGAATTCTGTTCGGACTGTGAAAATGACATTTCCCATAAATTCTTTACACATTGTCACACCAGGATTGATTTAAAGCCAAACAAGCATCTGATTCTTGCTCTGAATACCAGTTGATTGACTGCTGTTATAAATCATTTAATGCGACTCAGATTCAAAAGACAGCTGAAAGACTGACTGTCTCATTTTAGCATTTTGAAATGTCAGTAACAAGGCAAGTTCAAGAAGAGAGATTTAAACAAATGTTTTGAAAAAACAATGTCAATATCTACCAAATATACTACTAAACGGCTTTTATTTGTAATGAGTTATTTACCAAATCCCTTAATCAGATACCTATTCCAAAATATTCTGAAGAATATTTGTGAATAGTGGAGCCTCAATTTCAACCAAATGAAAGATTTTATACCATGGTAAATAATCTTGTAATTTCTATTTCTCTAAGCATTTGGATGCACATAAATACATATTTGAATGTACAAACATATACAGAAGACATTAGATATATAGTTATATACACATATAAACATGAAATGTGCATAACAAGGCAAAAAATATGATAATATATTTAGATAGTTTCATAGATAGATATGTATAAATACATCTCACACTAATTTGGACTGGTTTGGATTTTGCAATAGTGTTGTCATAATTTAAACAGACATCTTACACTTTTTTTCCTCTGTACTGCTTTTGATTTGTTTTGTAACTGTCTACCTAAGCTAAATAAAGGTGCCCCTAAGTGCAAACAAGAACATTAACAGGACATAATATTTAGCATTTGCAAATTGCCTGACATGTTTAAAGTATTGTAAAAGTATTTAATCCTAAATCCTCAAAACAGTCCTCAAGAACAGTAAGCACTTCCACCTGCAATGCTGCAGCATAGGGAAACATGTTACCACAAGGCAGAAACCAAGCTGACACCAAAGCCCTACACGGAGTCCTGGAACCAGCACTAACTTCTAAAAGCCCCTTGTCTCCAACATGGTCTTAATTTTGATAGCATTAAAAATGAAACAATCCAGATCTTGAAAAGTGGCTGAAAACCAGCAATGAGGCACCAGGTATAACCAGGCATAACCTGCCTATTAACCGGTATAGTTTTTATGATGATGAAAAAAACCCAATATCTGCTTAGGAGAAATGCGAGTATAATGCATTATTGACAGGTATTTCTGTCAATTATAAGCCTTTGAAAGTTGGATCTTTCCATCAAAATTACCTCAACTGGAAGAGGTGCCTGGATCAGAAGTTTTCTTTTTCTTTTATGCTCACCATACCTTTAAAGGTTGTGCAGAATTTGGGGATAGACACAGTACCTTCATAAAGTCTTCATCTTTTCGAGAGTTCTTAGTCCTTAACCATGCATCTTCATAACAAACAGAAGTTTTCATCTTTTTGAGACTTCTTAGTCCTTAAGGATGTATCTCCATAACAAATAGAAGTTTTCATCTTTTTGAGATTCCTTATTACTTAAGGATGAAGACAGGGCTTTCCTTTAAAACTGTCCACACAAGAAAAGATTCCAGTGAAGATGTTTCTGTTCAGCTAGTTGGGATGGCAACAGTCTTGGAAGATTTCCCTGATGTTGCATGTTTTGTTCTTTCTTTCTGAGGATATGATCATTCCTTGGTCACGAATATTTTCATTACTAAGGCTAGTATGCTTTGGAGTGGGAAATGTTAGATCCACTGAATAATTTGCTTGTGGGAATGATTTCTGGTCTTTTTTTTTTTTTATGTATTTCTGCTTATTACCAGAAATCTGGAAAAGGTCGTTGCAAGGTATATGAGAACAAATTTATCATAGTCTTTAAGTAAGCATTTCATTGTTAAAGCTCCTTGTAAAAGATTTTTTTATATTTCTTTCCTACTATTAGAGGATCCATACAAGGATCGATGTTCTCTTTTCCTTAACGAGGTTAAAGTTAAGACTGCTTTATTAAGACTGTCCATATTCTTGTTGAGATGGAGCTATTGCTCACTGACAACATGCCAAATAGAGTTTTGCTCTATTTCTAAAATTCTATTTCTAAAGAAAAAAGACAAAGTTAAGTCTTCACATGAACTTTTGGTATGAATTTCAGTATGTCTTTTGGTATGAATTTCCCATGTCTTCCAACACCTCTACATTCAACCTTTGACATGACTTCAGAAAAAAAAAATAATCCCAAAATCATGAAAACCAATCTATGCCAATACAAAGAAGAAAAAATATAAAATTACCTCCGGAGACCATGACCTGTTCCCTGCTATAAACATGTCTTTTGAGACTCACCTCTAACATGACGTATATAAAGAATCAGCCTTATTAGGACAGGTGAAAAAAGCAATTATGTAAATAATTTTGCATTTTGCTGTATTACTACTTGACTGTCTTCCCATGTTACCTGATTTCTTAAAGATATGCAGGTGCAGGAATGGTATTTTTAAAGATGTTCCCAACACATCATACAATATACTCCTAGATTTCAAGGGGTGACTGCATTTAAGAAAAAAATCCTCAACATTCTCTGGTTAATCCACTCAAAGAGTGTTTTAACTCATGTTCTTAATATGACTAATAGCAGCCCCAAGATCCACTATCAGCTACTGGGAACTAACCATCACAGAGAGTTTCATAGCACAAGCCATTATCCTGCAGTGTCTCAGTCCACAGACCTTCCATGTGTACCACCTGAAGTTCCAGCTCTACATGACTTGTGGCAGAAATGAGAAGACAAGCCTTGTAATATTAATTATAGGGATGTGAAGCTTCTCTTCAGATAAAGCAGGAGGACACAGCTGTGATTTCTAGCATTGTAGTGATCTAGGCAAGGTGTCTGTAAAATGTTTAAAGTCTTGATGATATTCTGAACAGCTATTATGAAAACTGTTGTACTGCTGAAATTCTATCTGTATATGAATATAGTCCAAGTAAGGTCACATCTCTGAAAACCAGAGACATTTCACTTAGGTTTAACCATCTATAATTATCACATCTAATCTAAGTCACACAGGCTGTCTTATAGTCAACAGAGAGATGAGCAGCTTCAGAGTGTCGTACATCTCACTTATCTTAAACACTCATTTTAGGATGAGAAATGGAACTGGATTCTGGGGACGGATTGTTGAACATAAACTTTAGCTGTCAGCAAGAAGCACTGCACGGTGCTCCTGGAGAGCCAGGATTAAAGGACGGACTTCTGTCAGACTCCATGGATATTACTACAAGAGTCGCCTACCATACACTGCAAAAAAATGTCTTTTCAGGCATATAACTTACAGACACAATTGATATAAGAGGAAAATTAAGATGTACTTACCAAAAACAATAGAGGACTCACAGTAGTAGTAACCATTCGGTTGCTTTTTTTTCAACATGGAGCAAAGATCTAGACGGTGCAGGATTTCATCTCCAAAATAATGGCTTTTAAAATCTTCATACAGGCTTGAGTCAATTTTTTTCACCTTTAAAATGCAACATGAAATTCAATTAGGCATTCTAGTAGAAGACTGAATTTTCATGTTTCATTCCTATAGTTTTCATTTTAACCAGAGATATAGTTAGGATGGAAAACTACTTCAAGATGCAGAAAGAATACTGAAACAATAATGTGCCAGATCTTCCGGTTTAGTTAAGCATTGTCTCCTACAGAACTTAAACAAGGAAATAAAAGTGTCATTACACCTCCTTTCTACCCCTCCCTCTTCAGTACTGTAGGAAACAAATCAATATACACAATGCTACAACTGCTTTAACTTCCAGTGGTTTGCAACAGTCTTCATGGAAGGTGCAACTGGAAATTATTCTTGCTGTCATCACTGGGCATGCTACTACAAGGAAGAATTTCCAATGTTTATCAAGGGCAGTTTTGCAGGTCTTTAAAACCACCAAACAGGAAAATGTGGTTGTATTTAACAAGCACTAGGCTTTTTATCTCAGCAAATCTAAAACACCTCCAGTGATTTATAGTATCAGTATCATTATGTAGTTTTGCATATACAAAGTGGAACATAATAAATATTCTATTAGGCTGTTTTCAGAAAACCTCATTTCAGTAGTTATTTTAAGAGTTTAGGGCCCCTCATTCCATCATATTTTCAATAAAAATAGATGATCTCTGTAGATAGTCAATATTTTCTCCTTCAATCTACCTCAGAGTAATGCTGTTTGCTTTTTAAAAATCATTACTATATGCTAAGGGATGTTAGGGGTGACCGCTCCCTCCAGCAGCTCCAGCCCAGGGCTCCCTACTACCTGGCTGCTGGAGCCCAGCCCAGTGCCCTGGGGACTCAGGGTCTCTGACAGACGAACCTGCTGCTTTCAAGTCCCAGAGACACATAAACATGCTCAGAGGACATGGACATGGCCACCTACACAGGCTGCCACAGACAAGGCGCTGCCTTCGACAGCACCCACATGGACAGCTCACATGAGACGCAAGCGTGGACAGACACCAGCAGAGACAGAAGGTCACTAGTGCAGGCGTGCACATGACTCTCTCCAGATTCACAAGCGCACGCACATTTGTGCATCCCCCAAGCACCATCACGGCCTCTCTGCCTGCCCTGCACCCGTGCCTAGATCCCAGGCTCCCTTACCCACCCCATGGGTCCCCCCCTGGTCCAGCCTAAGGTTTGGTAGAGAACACCCGCACCCCTCACACACACATGGTTTGGGGAAGATACAGACATGTGTCCCCAGCAGCCAGCACCCAGCACACTGGCTTGGTCAGGCAAGCATGTCCACCAGCACCGTTTTACACAGGGGGCCCTTTTACACCCCATTCTGTCCACTCTTCCTTTGTTCCTCCCCATCCCCTTCCCCTGAATATTTCCCATCCATTTACGCAGCCCCACCGAGCCCCCCAGCACCCTGGACACTCAGCTTCGCATCCCCAACAGATGCAAAGTCCTGGTTTGCCTGGGGTTTCTTTATAGCCCATCAATTATTGTGACTGATGAGGTTTGTTTCTTGGTTTTGTCTGTTTGACAGGTTTGTGTCTCTGTATATTTTGTTTATGGCTTCCCCCTTCCCATTTGACAAGGTCCTCAAGCAGACCATCCTGTTGAAATAAAGATCCCCGCACTCCACATGCCCCTATCAGTCCATGCGTCTGACCAGCTTTGGCTCTTGCTACTGCCTCCCTTACCTTATGCTGGTCAGGTTTGCATCTCTGTATGTGTTGTTTAGGGCTTCCTCCTTTTCTTATTATCCCCTTCCGCACTGAAAAGGTCCTTCACCAGACACCCTAAAGGGGACAGACGCTGTCTCCTTCCTCACACCCTTACACTATATATCCGTTCATCTGAGCACACACTCGGGCACTTCTTGTGATGCTTCATTTACAATTACTCATATGCAAGATGGCTCCGTGTTGGCATGTCTACTGAGCTTTTGCTTCGGTACAAAAGTATTGACTTCAGAAGCACTTTGCTTAAGTATCTGTACATTTGGTTCTCTAAAGTCTAATTTAGGGACTTTTGGTCCCCTGAAGTCTAATTTAGCAAAGGTCAGAAATGTCTCTCCATTTCCTTAATCTCTTAAACGCTGACATCTAGTGGTGGATGCTTTTCATTTCGGGTACACAATCCCCTTGGAAGTCTACGTTTATTCCAGCCTCACTCTCATTATTTAAAATTTGATATTCTATGGCTAGATTAGTCCTTATGTACTAAGGTTATTTTGAAATTAAATCATCATTCTTTGCTTTTTGGCTGACAGTTCTTTGAAATACATTTAGATGTCAATCAGTAAGAAAAAAAAAAGACCTTTTCAGCCAAGAGAACACTTGTCAAAATGTGAAGCCCTGAGTACTTGTGGAACAAAATGAGGAAAAGATCAAAATCACCACTTCACGCTCCGATAAAAAAATAGCATTTACAAGAGGTCGGGATGTTGTTTGTCAAAACCAGATTGGTAAGGTGTGAATCAAACATTGAATGCTCAGGAACTGAGCTATGCTTGTGATGCACCACTGAAAGATATTTGGAAATGCAGCCGTGGGAAACCTATATTTTTAGTAACTTGGAGCAATTTCTGGAGCACTGTTTATAATGAGATGTGAAAGGATGAAACTGTGCAGGTGCATGGGAAGGTCACGGTTCATTTCTTAATTGAAATGGGTCTGGAGTGGTAGAGATGAGAGGCGTTACCACATGGGGAAGTTATAGATGCTGATTATAGAGATAGGCTATAACTGGGGGAGGGTGAGAAACAAGAGTACTTGAGAGGCCATTTTGCAGCATTCGGTGCTGAAAGGGGAGAAGGAGACACCTGCCTCTTGAGGAAGCCCTGTAATCAATGGATGCCTGTGTAACGTGGGCACCAAAGAGACAGCTCTGGTAGCCCTGTCATGTCTGTTACCTCTCTGTCTGCACCTCCTGGGAAAGCAGGCAGGGAAGGCACAGCAGGCCGTCCCCTGCCTGCAGTTAAACCCTCCAGCTGCATGGAGTCCCCGTGGCTGCTGTCGGCAGGCGGCCAGGCAGCGTTTGTCCCTTCGTGGGATGAGGGGCAGGACACGGCTGCAAAGCAGGGCGCCCAACACTCTCCTGCAAGCAGCTTCAGTTTCCATGTACCAAACCCCACAGCCAAAATGCCCAGCTCGCAGCACCACACCTCCAGCTCTCCGAAGGCGAGGGCTGCCTGTGAAGGTTCCGTTTAGTTGCTCGAAGTAGCTCGT